GTAGGGGTGAAATATGGACTTGAACAATACAACAAAAAATGTGCATATGAGAAATACTAGGTTCATGATCAAATGCTAGTTGCAAATGTGAATATTGATAATATGCAATTGGTCGGATACAAACCACTGATGTGGCATGTAATATGGCATGACCCCAAACAAAAGCTGGGAGTTCTATTTTCATAAATAATGGTCTAGCAATAAGTTGTAGACATTTAATAAATGGCTCCACTAAACCATTTTGTGTGTGGATATTCGGAACCGAATGTTCAACAATAATCTCAATTAACATACAATAATCATCGAATGCTTGTGATTTAAATCCACCAGCATTGTCAAGATAAATAGTTTTGATTGAGTAATCGGAAAATTGCACTCGTAATTTTATGATTTGAGCAAATAGTCTAACAAAAACTACATTCCTAGTGGAAAGTAGTCAAACATGTGATCATCTAGTTGAAGAATCAATTAATATCATAAAATAACAAAATAGTCCACATGGTAGGTGTATTGACTCATACATATCTCTATGAATTCTTTCCAAGAAAGTTGGAGATTCAATATTGATATTTGTAGTCGAAGGTCTAATAACTAACTTGCCTTGCAAATAAACTACACATGGATAATCATTAGGTAAAAGAATCTACTGATTCTTTAAAGAATGTCCATGTGAATTATTTATTATTCGATGCATCATTATAACTCCTAAATGTCCAAATCGATCATGTCAAAGTATAAAGTTTTTGGATCAACGAACTATTGGTTCGTGATAATATTTGATTCGACCATTTTTATAAATGTATAATACATATCAGATGAGAGTGCATAAAGTTTTTCATTTATCTGCTTCTGGCTAGATACAAAAGAAGTTATGTAAAGATATTCAACATTACTTTCTTGCATAGTTTCAATGTGATATCCATTGTAGCGGATATCTTTAAAACTAAACAAATTTCTTCTGGATTTGATAGAATAAAATACATCGTCAATTCATAATTTTGCATTATTTGGTAAAATAATACAAGCTCTTTCGGAGCCTTCAAAGATATTCGATGCACCTGATATCATATTAATATTATTTTCTACTAACGTGAAGTCAAGAAAATATTTTTTGTCTTGAAAAATAATATGTATAGTTACACTATCAATTAAGTAATTATATTGAAAATCCATAATGAAGCTATAAAAAAATATTTTAGAAAAAACTTGAATTTAAATATAAAATAGTAAACATAATTCAATATTAAGAAATTAATTATGCATAATAAAGTTTCAATTTTTTTTTTTTTTTTGTAAAAAGTAAAAACATATTTAAAATTGAATTTCTAAAATGAAAGAAAATATTAGAAAGTAAATTAATCTATATCTTCCATCATACCACCTCCAATAAAATGGTTAATATTCTCATTTGGATCAATAAAGAAATAAGAGACATCCAAATGAGTCACATTAATTGGACCATCATAATCAACAAAATTTATCTCCACTTTTTCCTTTCCCTTGATTAATTTTTGGTAGAGATCCACAAGGTGTTTTGTAGCACGACAGGTACGTGCCCAATACTCTTTCATTCTACATTTAAAATAACTTTGTTCATACTCCTTTTTAGATGTGCTGCTTTCGTTTGCTCTATGCTTTTTGAAATTGTTGTCTTGTTGCTAATAGTTTTGTTGATTATTTCATTCATGATTTATTCTACGTGAAAATCCGTGTCCACGTCCAAATCCTTGCCCATGTTTACCTCCTTGTCTTGATATTGTATTTGATTCAGGTAATGTAGTACCATTTGCTTCAGGCAACAGTATCGAACCAGTTGGACGTAACCCATATTTTTTATTAGTAGTTCATTATTTTGTTCAACCACAAGCATGCAAGATATGAATTCTGAGCACTTTTTGAAACCATGCTCACGATATTGTTGCTGTACGAGCACATTTGAGACGTGAAAGGTGGAAAAAGTTTTCTCCAACATATCTTCATCATTGATTTTTTTTCACACAAGGTTAATTTTTAACATATTCTGAACAGTTCAGAATTGTACTCACTAACAACTTTAAAGTCTTGCAAACGAAGATGCATCGATTCTTAGCGGGCTTTAGAGAGGACTATAGTCCTCTGATGATCAAATCTTTCATTTAATTTTTTCCAAAGAATAGTGGATCATTCTTAGTGAGATATTCAATTTTCAATCTATCATGAAGATGATGACGAAGGAAGATGAGTGTTTTTGCTCGATCCTGTAAGAATTCTTTGTTTCCTTCTTTTATTGTCTCTTACAAACCTTTTGAGAAAAGATGAATATCAGCATCGAGTACCCCATAACAAATAGTTTTTGCCAGATATGTCAAGTAGAACAAACTCAAGTTTTTTGATGTTTATCATTTGATTAATTGCACAATAAAGCAAAAGAAAATACAATTATTTTCTAAAAAATATGATTAAACATCAAGTAGTCAATATCAACACGACATAAGTTACGTATTTTCTTTCAGGGATAAATAATAATTTAAAATAATATGTTCTTTGAAACATATGCTATTTCGAGAGTACGTCCTATTTTACTATTACTCTTTCAAGAATAATATGTCAATATTTTTTTAGAATATTGAAAATTATAATTTATGCTCTCCATGAGCAAGTAATATTTTTCAAGAATATTAATTATAATATTGTACTATTTTAGGAGCAACAACATGATATATTATCAATTTAAAGTCCATGAACAAAAATTCTAAAAATTATTTAACCAAGATAAGGAGACTAGTGATATTTAACAATCATCATGTATATATTTTGCTAAAATAAAGAAGAAGAAAAATTAAAATGAATATGTATTTATGAATTCATCAATGCAAACGTGAGAACAACATCTGTCTTCATAAAACTTAATTCACTATCATACACAAACTGTCATAAATTGACCTAATTCACTGACATGCACAAACTTCTTTGTTGACATAAGAAATTTTGGCATCATGCATGGTTCAGAACAATTCACATTTATGTATAGAAAAAAATAGCAATTAATGCCAATTGGGATAGACATATGAAGTGTAGATTGCGACGAAAATCAATGCAAATTAGGGTAGACTTTTACAAATTGCAGTCTAGGAAGAAATTTCGCTAATTGCAACAAATTGTTTATAACTACAAAATTCATATTGATTTTAGTGGAAATTCCAACCAATTTATAATGCATGTGTATATAAAAAAATGAAAGTGCTATGTGTACAGGTGTACATATAGGGGATGACATAATGTGAGTGGGGGTTACAAATTGCAGTCTAGGAAGAAATTTCGCTAATTGCAACAAATTGTTTATTACTACAAAATTCATATTGATTTTAGTGGAAATTCCAACCAATTTATAATGCATGTGTATATAAAAAAATGAAAGTGCTATGTGTACAGGTGTACATATAGGAGATGACATAATGTGAGTGGGGTTGAGCCCATGCTACAGTATCGTTGGTCCCACTCCACTCACATTATATCAACCTCGATGTGTACATATAGATTAATTCATAAAAAAAATTCACATGCCATTAAATTGGTTTTGGTACATATGACAGATAATTATGCTTATAAAAAAAAAATTACTACCTTCACGAGACTTTGAAGAATTAAATTTTCGTACTGATAAGGTGTTGTGAAAGGAGCGAAAAAGAGAATAAAGAATAAAAGTCAATAGATTTATATGTATTATAATGAAAATCAAAATCCTATATTTATAAGGTAAGATTATGGATAGAATGGTAATAATTTATAAAGCTGTAGGGCATAATTGTTATTTACTAATAAACTTACCATTTACAACAAAAATAAAAAATATTATTTTTAACTAATAAAATATAAATTCAAAGTTATCCAGTGAAAATTATTAATAAAATGGAGAGAGGACAGAATAGCATGCATCATGTCTGACTTCATTTGCCATGGTGTGCAAAATTCGGCAGCCTACCAACAAATGCCAGTCTCCATCCAAGAATTGCCCACACATTTTATTTTATTTATCTTATCAAAAATAAATAAAAAAGTACACTTTCCAGTTTTCGTTCTCGCCTAAAAAGTTCACCTTTACACAGGCTGAGCTGAGACGTGACTTTTTCCGAGCGAGCTGAATTTACAGAGGAAAAAGAGTAGATTGAGCGAAAAACAGATTTTTGATTATATTTTATCAATTCATGATGAATACATATATATTCAAGAAACAGATGAACAATTGAGAAGGACTTTCAATAAACGGATTCTGTTCTGAAACGTCCATTCAATTTGCTCAGGACATTTTTCACTGTTATTGTCCATTTGAAGTAGGCCATTTTTCTCAATTGCGAAAAGTCCAGGATTTTCAGTTGTTATGTTCTATCCTCTTGCTTTCGAAACAATTTCCGAAAATAAAATAAAACGACTTGATTCAATACACGTGGTTTTCTTGGGCTGCTTGTCTTTTAATAAAAATTGAGTCTTTTTCTAGTTTTCATCCCAAAGCCCATACGTAGATTTGAAGATTCCATCATTTTTATTTAGGATTCCTTGACATTTTCTCCTTATCATCCCAAGGGACCACTTGAATATTGATGAACTTCTCTGTTCAGAAATCTTCGACTTTTGGTGGACTTAAAGGTATGTTCAGGTTTTGATTCTTGATGTTTTTATTTTTTATTTTCTTGATTTCTGTATCAATCTCCTATATTTAGCCAATTCTTCATTTTTGTGCAGCAGAATTCGTTTGTTGGAAATGTTGAACTGTATTTCTGAATGGTTGGCTGCTTTGAAATGAACGATTCATCACTCTTTTGAACTGTATTATTCCCAGAATGTTGTTTGCTGAGTTGCTTTCATAATTCGAATTCTCTGAGATCCTTTCTGAAATTGACAGCTTTAAGCCCAATTTTGAATTCGAAAGTCCTTTTAAGAGAATTGGGAATATCATCTTTTGGTGGTGTATATCCAGTGATTTCAGTCTCAATCACAGTTTTGACAAAGTTAAGATTCTTATTATGTCTGTGGAGGTTGGATGGAAGAAATGTCTTTTTTTGGGTTTGGCTGGAATTTTAATAGCTTTGATGCTGGCTTGTCCATCAAACGGGTTGACTGCAGATGGAATAAACCTCTTAGAGTTCAAGAAAAACATTGTCGATGAATTTAACTTTCTTGGGAATTGGAATCCAAATGCTACGACACCCTGTGAATGGGTAGGCGTGAATTGCACCTCGGATTATGCTCCGGTGGTATGGTCTCTAGACTTGAGTTCGCGGAATCTTTCAGGGACTTTGAGCCCTAGTATTGGCAATTTGGTCTTTCTAACTTATCTCAGTGTTTCTCATAACAAGTTCAGAGGAAGTATTCCCAAGGAAATTGGAAATTGTTCGAAACTAGAAACTCTTTACTTGAATGATAACTATTTTAATGGCCAAATTCCTGCTGAATTGGGTAATCTTTCTTGTCTGGAAGATTTCAATTTGTGCAACAACGAGGTCTCTGGCTCAATTCCTGAGGAAATTGGGAAACTTTCTTCCCTTGCTAATTTTGTGGCATACACAAACAATCTTACAGGCCCATTGCCTCAGTCTCTTGGCAACTTAAGAAACTTGAGAACATTTCGAGCTGGTCAGAATGAAATCTCGGGAAGCTTACCAACAGGGATTGGTTATTGTCAAAGCCTGGAAACACTAGGTCTTGCTCAAAATAGAATAGAAGGTAATCTACCTAAAGAACTCGGTATGCTCAAGAGCTTAAGAGAAGTGATTCTATGGGAGAACCAGTTTTCTGGATTTATACCAAAGGAACTTGGAAATTGTACAAATCTTGAGATGCTTGCTTTATACCAGAACAATCTTGTCGGAGATATTCCTGCCGAACTTGGGATCATCATGTCTATGCAATGATTATACCTATACCGGAATGGATTGAATGGAACAATTCCCAGGGAGATTGGGAATCTTACTCAGGCAGTTGAAATTGATTTCTCGGAGAACTATTTGACAGGAGAAATTCCAACGGAGTTAAGTCAGATAAAGGGTCTATATTTACTGTACTTGTTCCAGAATGAGCTTACTGGGATTATCCCAAATGAGCTTAGTAGCTTGAAGAACTTGACGAAGCTAGACTTGTCGATAAATCACTTGACAGGCCCAATTCCATTTGGCTTTCAGTATCTTACTGAACTATATCATTTACTGCTTTTTTCTAATTCTTTGATTGGCATCATACCTCAAAGTTTTGGGCTTTACAGTCGACTTTGGGTGGTTGATTTTTCCAAAAATTACCTCACTGGAAGAATTCCTCCTCACCTTTGTAGGCATTCTAACTTGATGTTGCTGAATCTTGAGTCTAATAAACTGTATGGAAACATCCCAGGTGGCATAATTAATTGCATATCTTTGCAACAACTTCGTCTAAGTGGTAACAGACTAACTGGAAGCTTTCCTTCTGATTTATGCAAATTGCCGAATCTCACTGCTATTGAATTGGGTCCAAATAAGTTCAGTGGTCCAATACCTCAAGAGGTTGAGAAGTGCCAAAAGTTGCAAAGACTCGATCTCTCTGGAAATCAATTCACCTCCGAGTTGCCAAAGGAGATAGGAAATCTATCCCAGCTTGTGTCTTTTAACGTTTCATCAAACTTGTTCACTGGGCGGATCCCGCCAGAAATTCTTCACTGCAAGGGTCTGCAAAGGCTTGATCTTGGCTGGAACAGATTCATTGATGCTATACCAATTGAGCTAGGAACACTTTCACTGCTTGAACGTCTTATTGTTTCAGAAAATATGTTTTCTGGAAATATTCCAGCGGCATTGGGCAAGCTCTCTCATTTGACAGAGTTGCAGATGGGTGGAAATTTATTATCCGGAGAGATACCAAAGGAGTTGGGTGATTTTGCAGGCCTGCAAATTGCAATGAATCTTAGTTGTAATAACTTAACTGGGAGAATACCGCCTGAGCTTGGAAACCTTATCTTATTAGAATATCTCTTGCTCAACAACAATCATTTGAGCGGTGAAATTCCTAGAACATTTGTAAACCTGTCGAGCTTACTGGGCTGCGACTTCTCATTCAATGACTTAACTGGGCCATTGCCTTCTGTACAGCTGTTTCAGAACATGAGTATCAGTAGCTTCATTGGAAACAAAGGGCTTTGTGGTGGGCCGCTCGGTAATTGTAGTGGGTCTACACCTTTCGACAAAATTCCTTCTGTGAGAAGTTCAGATGCTTCTCAAGGAAAGGTCATTACTGTAGTTGCAGCTGTCATTGGTGGAGTGTCTCTTGTTCTAATTGTAGCTATTTTGTATGTTATGAAGCGTCATCCAGTCGAAATGGCTGTGTCGTTACAAGAAGATAATGACATTTCATCCCCAGGTTCTGATATTTATTTTCATCCAAAAGAGGGGTTCACTTTTCAGGACCTCGTTGAGGCCACAAACAATTTTCACGATAATTATGTTATTGGAAGGGGAGGAGTTGGGACAGTCTATAAAGCAGTTTTGCGATCCACTCAAATAATTGCAGTTAAGAAGCTGGCATCTAATAGAGAGGGTAATGACATAGAGAAGAGCTTTCGAGCTGAGATTTTAACTCTTGGAAACATTAGGCATCGTAACATTGTCAAGTTATTTGGTTTTTGCTATCACCAAGGTTCCAATCTCCTTATTTATGAGTACATGGAAAGGGGTAGCTTGGGTGAATTGCTTTATGGGGCATCTTGTGACCTAGACTGGCCAACGCGGTTCTCAATTGCTCTTGGAGCTGCTGAAGGCCTTTCTTATTTACATCATGACTGCAGACCAAAGATCATCCATCGTGACATAAAGCCTAATAACATTCTTCTTGATGAGAAGTTTGAAGCTCATGTTGGTGATTTTGGTTTAGCGAAAGTGATTGACATGCCTCAGTCAAAGTCTTTGTCTGCAGTTGCTGGATCATATGGTTACATAGCCCCTGGTGAGTACCTCTTGTCCATCTGCATGATAACTATGGCTTTTGTATCCGTGTTTATCATAATAGTTTATTTCTAATTGATTCTCCTCGAAAAATCGAAATGCTATGTCTATACGAAATGTATTTTGTCCCTAAGTGGTGCATAAAGTAGTCTTTATCTGGTAAATGTGTATTTTGTCCCTTAGTAGTGCATGAAGTAGTTTTTATCCGGTAAATGTTGTCTTTACACCATTTAATGCTCTCTCCCACCTCAAAGATGAAAGGGAAAAATAGTAAAGGCTGTTTACTTAGTAATTATTTTTAAGTTTCTCTTTATCTGGTGGACTAGTAAGTGTTTTCAAGTTTGTAATGTACTTCTAACTTCACTGTTAAGATTTGTCATCTTATATCTTAAAAAGTTAAGAAGTTCTCATTGTATCATGATATAATATATGGGTTAGTTTTGGGACTTCTGCTCTGTTGTTGATGTTCTGATCTTTGTTGAGCCATATGCAATACCTCTATAAGAGCCCACATCTATAGAACTAGCACTTGATCTAGTTAATTTTTTATGACATCCTTTTTGGGTTTATTACATTCTCATTCTTGTGGTATGTAGAACTATATAAGAAGTTGTTGCTTATTCGAATTACAAGTCAGAAAATCATAGCATAAATTAGACAGGTTGGCATCTAAATTCTTGTAAATATATGAACACAATCATATCTTGCTATGTCCATTTTCACTTGACGATGTAGTTGATACAAGTGCATTAGGATGATATATGAGATCTGAAAATTTCAATCTGTCGTGAATAAGATTAAACAAATCAAATCTCGAGATATCACAGTCTTTGTCTTTTGTATGCTCTACAGTAAGATAATCTTCATTAGTAACAGAATAAAATCTATATTTACTCTCTACTTTCATCAAAATATATTTAATACTAATTTCTATCTAATTCTAATATCGATCTCACTAGGTCTTACTGTTTGTGTGGGATTCTTGGAGATCTTAGATCTCTTTGGGTCTTATAGTTTGCTTAGGCTCACTGAAGATCTCTCTATGCCTTATAGTTTGAATAGGATCCTCGGGGATCACACTAGGTCTCATTTGCCTGGGATCCCCAGGGATAGATCTTTCGTCCCTGTGAACACCCAAATGGTCGCTTGGTGTTACACCTTGCTTGGTTCCTTGGAGATCTTTCTAGGTCTTACAATTGCCTAGGATACTTGGTGCCTCATTAGGTATTATAGTTTGTCTGGGATCATTTGAGATATCTCAAGGTCTTATACTTTGCCTATGATCCAGAAGATCTTGCTAGGTCTTAGAGTTTGCTTGTGGACCCCAAAGGGCCTTACTCAGTCTTTTGATCCTGCGACCCCCAAAGGATCTCGGTAGTCTTTGGTGCATTTGGACCCTTAAAAAGGGGTCTCACTATGTCTTATTTGGATCTCTTTTTCTCCTCTGAGTCATCTTCTCATTGGAAGGTTAGTTGAGAGTGTGCATTTTACCATGAATAATAGAATTCTACATAAATAATGAGTTGTGACAGAGTCAGTTTAATATTTACGAGTATTGGCATGGACCATCTTGAGTAGCATTTTTGCTTATCCGCAATTTAATATTACATAGCCCATTCATGTCTTGCTTACCCTGAGACTGGAATAATCAGCTACTTGAACCAGTTCATCATTGAAGTAGCCCATTCTTGAAAGTGTAGTTGACTATTGTGGCTGATCTTTCTTAGAAAAGATCTCCTCTCCCTTCTCTCTCGGAAATATCTCAATATTTCACTAGTTTAAATAAACCTTTGTAGCGCTTATGAACCTAACTGACAATTTTTACCTCTGGACAATACCATGCCATGATCCATAAGGCATTACGGCATATCTGCATTTGTTGGCGCAATTTCTAAATGGACTTCTATAGGATAGAATGGATAAACATAGATAGGCTATATGTGCTTGAACTTCTTATATTATGAAATATTCCACCTTCCATTCTGAGAAGGAACCTTTATTAATCTCTACAGTGTTTGGCTAAGAATACCATTATATTTATCGTCAAGGAGAAAGAAACTGTAAAGAATATTTTTTGCGCTTATTAGATTAGAGATGCTCCAAAACTGAATACTGCATATATTGCAAAATGTTATTAGCGATTTCGCCGCC